TTTAAATGATCTCTGTTCAGATTGTACCGTATTGTGTCTCATACAAAAAGCAGACCAGTTTCTCCTCTAAATGTGATCCAGTAGCCTTTAGTTGCACAAGCTAGTAAAAATAAAGCATCAAAGATCAGCCTTCTGGTACATATCAGTGTAAAGCCGGTGCAAGGAAATGAATGACGCACATAAAAATTGGTTATTTTAGGGGCACCAACCATTTTTTGAATAGAGAGAGATTTCAGTCTGACTAACTGGAGATGCTTTTGATTAAGAAGTGCAAATGCATGTGTTTAAAATCTCATCAGGTCACAATCCACATGAAATGGCCAGGTGTAAACAGGGTCTAAATTAGTTGGTATTCATTACATCACAAAAGGACTGAATTCAAAAACGGGCTTATTTTATAAAGTGGAAGAAAATGCTCTAATTTTCCAGTGACATAGGTCCTTTAAATCCTCTGTCTGTCATAAGGAAAAGACCACCATTACCCCCTAATTGCACACAAAAGGGCAAAACAAGTACTCGCTGCTTGTTCTTTCTTTTCAGACACCCTAACAAAGGAAGTGGCCACGAACCGTCAGCATAAAGTCACGTGTGCGTCGCTTACACTTTGGCACACAGCTCACTCTCGTTCTACAACCTTGGCTGCAACCCTCAGGTTCCCATCCTCTTAATTACTGCACACTCCACCGAAGGTGAAATGGATTGCATTTTCAGAATGAATTAATTACAAAGCTCACAATTAAAAATCATTCCCCCAACACACACTAACCCAGACTGAGATCACCTTCATACTTGGTTGGGATTTTGGTGAATGACAAAGCAGCCAGAACACAGGATCTTACAGAAAAAGCTTTAACAGACACAGATTGTGCAGACATTTTGGAGTGGCAGGGGCTTAAGAGGAAAAAAAGCAACATGAACATGAATTAAACATAATTCACAGCATTTACAACATACTGCTATGCCACTTATAGAGACAATCAGTGTAATAATAATCATCTTTCAGATAAAACCAAGCGTAGTGTTAAAAGGCATTAACGGTACTACCTAAGCAGGGATTCGAACCTTGGCCACCGGTGTGTCAAGTCAAGTCAAAGTGTATTTATATAGCGCTTTTTACAACAGGCGCTGTCACAATCAGCTTTACAGAAAAAAATCCAGGTCCGCGCCCCCATGAGCATCGCCAATGGAAAGGAAAACTCCCTAAGAGAAAGAAACCTTAAGAGGAACCAAGACTCAAAAGTGGAACCCATCCTCCCTGAACAAAGCCATGGCATTAGTCACTATACTATTTAATCTTTGTGTTGTAAAATATAATAACTCTATAACTATATATAACGCTATAATTAGTCTTGTATAAATCCCTATTTTATGCATAATGTTTGGTTGTTATTCAAATTAATCACATTATGGAATATGATGGCTTATTAGAAAATATCAGTGTTTTATTGTTGGGATCTCCAGTGCTCTAGTAATATGTGGAGGTCGGAGTTACTGAGGAGAACCACAGGCTACTCCAGCAGAGAGGGCGCCCATAAGCAATGAATCTTGCTCACAGCCTCTATTCCTGGGGCGAAGCTGAGCCACATTTCACTGAAACAGATCGTGAAGAAAGGCGGAGGCAATATAAAATACTGTAGTGACCCGCTGCTGACTGGCGCTGGCCTCTAGACAGGTTGTGAGGCGTGACCATGCTGATGGCCACACCAAGAAGCGTGCCCTCCGGAAAAGAACTTAAATGTTGTTTATGTTGTTTGTCAGTTAAAGGTATGTGTTTGTGTGTTATTTGTGTTGTTCTGGGTCAGCGAGTGTGTTTGGTGTTAGGGGTTGGTCCACCGTCAGGGTGAAGCCTGTGGCTAGTGTTGACCTTCACTGTGAGTTCAGTGCTTTGTATGTCTTTCTACCCTGGTGTTTAAGAGCACTTCCTGTGGTGGAATCATGGCCTTCCCTGTGTCTTACTCTATGCTGATGCTACATTGGTGTCAGAAGTGTGTTAGCACCCCCCAGTCAAGTGGTGAGGCATGGTGGTTCCACAAACTGAAGAGCACATGACTGTGATGGCAGAGACAGCGCTAGTGCTGCAAGGTTTCACAAGGAGGATGGCCTGGCGAGGCTGGATGGTGAGGCTGACGTGGGAAGGCCCAATGACGAGACTGGCGTGGGAAGGCTCGAGGCCAGAGGCTGGGGGCTGTGGGTTGAATGCAGCATTAACCCATCACAGGCTCGCCAATATCCCCACACTGCGTCCAGGCGTGCTCATGCATGCGGAGAGAGGCACATCAAATGGCTGGAAGGCGACCATCATTCAGGTCAGGTCAGTCACCTGCGGCAGAGGCAGGGCCCCAGCATGTATGAGTGACGCTTACGCCAGCATTGATGGCATGGTGGGCGATGAAGTGAGCAAAAAGCAGCCGGGTGGAGTGCTGTGATTGCTTCCATTGCCCCCAGCTGCACAGGACTTGACAAGGCGTCATCATGTACTATCCGAGGGCAAAGGGGTTGGGGCTCTGCAAATTTTATTCATTTTGCACAACTTATAGTATTTATTTTAAAATTCTGCAACAAGAATCACTTCAATGTGGAGACTTTTAAACACAAATGAGTCAATTAGATGTTTCGCACCCAAAAATGTGCTGCAAGTCATACGCTTTAATTACTTTTACTCGCTGACCCTGATTCTGTTTGTAAACACAGTAATGTGGACATCTTCACACTGGTATTTTGAACTGAGGATCCAGTGGTTGTTGCAATGCTCTATAAGCTGTACTGATATGCTTGTGGTTGTCTCGTGGGACCCAACAGGGAAAACGCATGAATATTTCAGTGGCCCACCTGTCATTGACCACTTTCACACCAGCACGCACGGCTGAACAAAACTTTCCGGAAGGAGGGACAATTAGTGGACCAATTATCTTTATGAAGGTGGACTTGAGTGTCGGCTTCTTTTTCCAGCGTTTTCTCCTCTTGTTTCCACTTTTTTCAGTGTGCTCTCTCACTGACTCAGCCCGCCTCTTCCTCGCTGTGCAATATGCCCTCAGCGTGTTGCAGAGAGAAACTGGGGCTCCCTTGAGAGAGAGAACAAGCGTGTGTATGTGCGTTTGGAAGAAAGAAAGATAGAGAGAGAAAAAGTACGTTTAAAACTCCTCTATTAAGCAAAAGAGAAATTCTCTAGTGTTGTGAAAGTGTCCTAAATTACCCTGCGTGACATTTCGTTCTCCTCAGTCCGCTCACTTTAAGGCAGGCTCTGCAGATGAAATTACAGCAGGTGGTAATGATGGTGAAACTCGCAGTTTTTAAATGGGATCTCCTTGCCAATATTTACTGAGAGGTTGATTAATTTAAAGGGACCATATCCTACATTTCTGTATTTGATTTTTATCCAGAGGTTCACTCATGACATTTATGAGGATTTATGGATCAAAAACAGTTGTAATTTATTTTTACATGACCATTTTCAACAGGTTCTTTTTGTTGTGCCCGAAATGCAAATGACATATGTAAATACACTCTGTTCCGATTGGCTGCCCTGTATTGGGCCTCATTCCAAAAACAGCCTTGGCTTCAACACTCCTTATACCTTCAGCATAAATAGGTGGAGCTATTCTGATGTAGAATTAAGGTAGATATATGTAAACTGTGTTTTTGTGACATCACAAAAACAAAGACTTCAAAAAAGGGTGTTTTTGCAGCTTATACAGTGTGTGGACTGGGATGGTGAACTTGGGGCCAATATTCTACATTTTTCTTGTATTTAATTTTTGTTTTTATGTGGTTTTATGTATTTTATGTATTTTATGACATTTTCTAACCTCCTTTTATCCCTTAGAATTAATTAGGCTGTTTTTGAAGACTGATATCTGTAAATGTGCTCTGTTCATGACTGGCTGCCCTGCATTGTGCCTCATTTAAAAGGCAGTTTGACTGAAACAGTCTTTCATCATGAATGGGATGGGCTAAACTGCTGTAGGCTGAATATACGGATATATGTAAATGCATTTTTTTCGTGACATTGCAGTTTGTTTACCACATATGGACTGTATGGACTGGGGAGTGAATTGTATGGGCTTTCTGACAGTATTCACATACTAATACACTAATTCCAAATTTATTTACAAATTTTGCAAATCAGTTTTCGATGATATGGACCTTTCTATAGAGGTAAAAAGTTAAAGGGGGTGGTTGAACGGGGCTGGAGATCAAAAATCATAGGATTTCCATTTGTGAAACAGGGAAAAAAATGTAATCCTCTTGTGTCCACTTTTTCTTCCCCTGACCCAGAGACCATTCTGATTTGAGATTTTATGATCTTAGCCCTGCAAGCCCACAGTAATCAGCTTTCACATCCCTCGTGATGCAACTATGTTGGCTTTACCTAATATGATTGCCTGATAGATTAGAGCTAGAGTCTGATAATTAACATCATCAGGTCAGGCTTAGTGTGCTGCGGCCTGTTTGATGGCTGTTTGCTTGGCCAAAAGATGTAAGCCAAAAGGCTACAGAGGGACAGCCTGGCTTTTCTCTCGGACCGTTACATAATAGATCAAATAAATAGGAGAAATTTTGTTTATTTTGTTCAGAGAGGTCAGAAAGAGACAACTGCCAATGAAGAGGAGAAGAAAAAACAACATGGTGGCAGGGTATTGAGACATAAATGAATTCATCAAAAAGAGAGAGAGAGAGAGAAAGAGAGAGAAAGGAAAAACACTGTCGTTAATCTTGGCAACATTTCCTGAACTTCAAAGGCTCGGGAGCCCTTAGGAGAGAACTGAATCATGGCACTCTAATTATTTATGCAACCACTCTCTAGCAGATCTCCCCTGTCAGTCAGCTGCTGGAGAGCGGCCAATTAATAATTTCTACACCCTGTTTTCTCCCCTTTCTCTTTCTCCCTCATCATTGGCTTCTCCCTCTCTTTTACCCTGATAATATTCTCTGCTTGTCTGCTCTAACTCGGCATACACTGATGCATCTCTCTCTCTCTTTCTCTCTCTTTTCATTGTCAGACGAACAAGGCAGTGACCAAAGGGGACTTTCACCAGGCCAGCTCCAGCTCCAGACGGGCTCTCTTTCTGGCCGTGCTCTCCATCACCATCGGGACTGGCATCTATGTGGGCGTGGCGGTGGCCCTTATTGCGTACCTCTCCAAGAACAACCACTTGTAGCCTTGCCTTGCCTTGCCTCCCCGGCGTCTCTCGGCTGACTGATTGTTCTAAGTGGATTTACTCTGAGGGCCACTTAGGGGTAACACACCGAGTAACGATCCACACACTCGACTCCAGCACTTTTATGAATCACATGAAATTATTGAGTGGATCCTCATTTGTAAACACAGTGATTATTTCGCTCAGTGTGAAATCATGACATTTCTTTTTCGGCACTCACTTGTTTACCGTGGTGGAGAGAGAGTGCTTCGAAGGACTGTAGAAACAGTGACTTTAATATCTATTTACAAGGCAAGGACATCAGGTCAGATGGCTTTGAGCAATCACAAATACTGTATGGTATTATATAATGTGCCGATTTAACCCTTTGATCCCTCCAGTGTTGTTTTCTTTTTTCTTTCGGTGGTGAGATGTGAAAAACACAATCTATCTGAAGTGCCACAGTACTCTGAAGCCTTTTTAATAAGAGCTACAATATTATAAGGTCTAGGGTCAGGGATTCCACACCACAAGAAGGGGCTTTTTTTCAATGAAATTTCAAGGGTAACATGGACACAAAGCCATAAAGATGGGCTGGAAGACTCTGGATAAGGACCTGATTGAACAGTAATCTTTTGATCTGAGAGGGCGCGTGTATATTTGTAAACTGTCCTTGGTGAGATACCACTTGGAATCCCCAAAACCTCTGTAACCAGGCCCGTTGCTTTCAGTTTCTATTTGCCAAACTATGATTCTGTACATGCTTCCACCGTAAATGTTATGGTGTTCCACCTATTGGGAGATTTCAGCCATCAATGGACTGCAACCTCTTGCCAAATAAATGTAGTCTTTTCATTCAAATCTATGCCATTTATGTGAACTTTTGTTACTTCACACTGCCTTGGTTTTGCTGCTCAGTGACTTTTCTGCCAAATGTGGTTACTGAAGTACTAGACCCAATGTTCAAAACAAATGCATGCGCCAGAAATGGAATATGTGCACAAACACACAGGTCAGAGATCAGTTAAGCTTATATGTCACCATTTATCGCAGTCATCATTAGTTCTTCATTAATGCCTCGATTCAATGCAGTTTCTCGGTGGAAGGCAGAAGACATCTCTATCATGGTTGATTCACTGGAAGAATATTAGCGCACTCACCCTTTACTAATAATAGAACTGACTGCATTGTCATCATGGTACTACTGACAATACTGTTGCCAGGAAATTCAATTCAATTCAACTGACCGCTTGCAAGATGTCCCACCTCCCTATTGTTGCTACGTCTGTCAAACCTTCAAACTATAAAGTTAAGAAGCACAAAGGAAACTTTAGAATCACACAGTCATTCAAAACTGGCTTTATAAGATGTTCAGTGGAGACAAACATGTTTGAAAAAATATGAACGTTGGCTCATTCAAAGCAAACAAAGAAGAGTTCTGGCAACCATGTTTACATTAATAAAACTGGGGAAATTGTTGAGACACTCAATGTTAAAGCTTGTCTAATAAGGAGGAGGTTTTAGTGATGGAAGCTGCCCCTTCAGATGAGCTAACACTAAAGCTAACTGGAGCTGGTCAGAGCAATGTTAGATGATGAGGAGGTAGTCTGTGCTGAGGAGGACTTCTTTTACATAAAGTATTTTAGCAAACTTTAATGAAACAATACAATGAATGACATTTGTAAGAGTGAGCGCTGTACATACTGATTTACCTGTTGAATCCCATTCTGATCTAAGTTGGTTTATGCTAGTTTATGCTGGTTTTAAAATTGTTCTATGACGGTGTCATTAGGCATCATATTAAAATGATCTAGTACAGTAAACAGATACAGTTGAGCTTAACTTAGACCCAGAGTCTGCCTGTTAATCCCATATAAAAAATCTATATGTAAAATATATTATAAATATTTTATTTCAAAATATACCAAACACTAAAGTACATTAAGCAAAATTTACTTTTTAAGTCATAAATGTTTTCCATTTTCATATACTTTTCAAATGTGTTTTATAAATACATTTTACATATTTGTTTTTTCCATATAGGATAGTATGACGTGTGCCTGTTCCTCACCCACTCGCGGCTCTCTTCCGCCGTCCTCGCCAGGGTTTGTTGACGCTCTATCTTCAGGCCCCGCCTCTTGGTAGGCTCTTGCAGCCACCGGGGGGCCCGGGGGGGGGCGGGTGCACGCCACAGATAGTTTTGACATTAAGCTGTGAGTTTGGTCTTCCACTGAGTTTAATCCAATTTTCAGCTTCAGAAATGAAATAAAAACAGCTCCACCCTCCAGATGACCAGCATTACATGTATCAAGCATTATACATTCCTCAATAACACCTTTCCACTGGATGGGAATCCATAGAGTTGATTCCAAGAGTCGTTTACAGAAAATAATCTTGATTCCAAAATGAATAGATAGAGAAGGACAAAAATAAAGAGTGCATGATTAATTATTTTTGACTTTAGCATGGAAATTTGGACAGCTAACGCTAACTAAATTAACTTTGCTGACCACCGTGGGCTGGCTAAGATGTCCCCTCTGTCATCTATTTCAGGTGGTAGATATTTCGGCACCGACAGTGTTATTTGACTGTGAGCCAATTTTTCGTTAGAAATCTTAAATTTAACTTTTTTTTCCACTTTGTCTAAAGTAAAATACAGCTGGACTATCGATGGCTGTGCTGTGGATTTTTCTTATGCATTGTCTAGACAATAACATTAGAATATCTTGCCCTCCATGTAGTCAAACTTAAATGTCACTGCACGGAATTAAGTCCAAAGTTGATTCCCAAATGCCTGGAATTGGTGAATTGATTCTTTTTGTGATCCACCCTCAGCCCTACTTTCTACCATTTCTTAGCCTAATAATTCTGACTAATTTACTGCTAGCTCTGTTCTCACTGCATGTTTGTTCTGTTCTTTTTCCTTTGCTTGATGGAGAAAGTAGCATGTAAAGACATTTGTGGTTGGCTGGGAGGCGTGTCAATCACAATTTTGCAAGCTTGGTGATTAATCTTAAATCCGGCAATCAACATATTGCACAGAAAAGCACAAAAAATATTAGAAGTGGAACCAAGAAATACATGAACACAGCTTAGAAGAGATTCAGTCATTATAATGCAACAGCATACACATCCAGGATGAGGTCCACGCTGTCCATATAAATGCATGTATTAAGATGTAAACTACAAAAAGCTGATCCTTGATCGGTGCCCTTACTCAAAATATAAATAGTCCAGTCCAGCAAATCTCAGTCTTCACTGACAACTCCACTGCAGCAGGCTGAATGACTAATCACCTGCAAACACTATGCATATTTCATAGCGACAGAAACATCTTCACAGCCTGCCAGTGATATTAGCTGCCTCTGCTCTCAGCTGATTTATACATTTGGCCAGTGGAGACGAGCGAGATGCGTCCCGTGATAGCTGCTTTGTGGGCTCCCTTTAAGAGCTAGCGGCAAGGGGTGAGGACCCTGTGGAGAAAGATCAGAGGAGGCCGAGGTTGCTCTCTAATTAAGGAAATTGTCATTCAGGATGCTCATCTCGAGGTAATTAGCGAGGCTCTTAGTGTGAGAGTGTGCGAGTGTAAGTGAAAGAGAGAAAGTCGGCACTGACTTGAATCACAATTATGACATATTTCGTCTTTTTATCACTCCTACGTCCGGAACATTCCAGGATACCCTTGATTGGTCCTGTTATCAGTGAATCTACAGTAGGGGTGTCAAACTGAATTCCTTTGGGCCAGAGCACTGCAGAAATGAGTGTTTTCTCTGTTCTAGTGCTCTGAATTTAGTTCAAGAAGGCCTTGCTAATTAGATGATAAGTTGAATCAGGTGTGTTTATGAAGGCATTTCAGAGCTGTGGCCTGGAATAAACCCAGTTTGACACCGATCAATCTACAGCGTTAGTTCATGGAGGTCATTTTGTTATTTTAGCCATTTAAGAATGAAGAATCATGAAAAGCTCTACACTTCCATCAATAATAGAAGTGCTAGTTCAATGCCAGTATTGCAGGCATCAAATGTTGTTTTAGTGATTGAAAGAGAATCTGAGGGGGGCCGTGTGATCAAGCAAGAAGAGTTATTTATTATAGAACAGAAGCCATTGAGCTACAAATCGACATCCAAGACTGTAGATACCAAAGAAGACTCAGAAAATGATCATAGTTATAGAGCACTCCAATGTTCTAGAAGAGATCAAAAGGTGAAATGTGTCATAATTTGAAGGATGGTTCCCTTATGAGCTTTAAAAACCCTCAGAAAGCTAAAATGGTCTGCAGTGTATCTCAGAACAGAACCATAAAGTCCACACTAAATTCTTATTCCCTAGAGAAGGATGAGTCACTGGGTCTATAAAACTCTGGCTGTAGCCCTCCACCTACAAGCACATGCATAAGCTTATTAGCCTCATTACTCAAGAAGAACTGATAACCAATGCTGTCACTACTCTTCAATCATTCATGTACCATTTGACAACACATCAATATAATAATTGGCCTATAGAGCTTGAAGCATCACATTGTGATGCTTTATGGGATCGTTCCACCATATTGGCAGGATTCGTTCTTTGTTTAGATGCCACAAAACTCTTTAGCTACCTTTACACACAGCCTGATAATCCATTAATCCGACTAATAGCTCAATTGGAATAGCGTCCATGTATACACCTCAATCGGTATACACTAGTCCGATTGAGGCCATTTGGAATACAATTTCTATCTGATTGAACAAGGTGGGTAATCCTGTAAATAATCCGTTAAATAGAAGAATAATAACCATCTAAACGCCTGTATCTGATTACATTCCCTATCGGAGAGTTTAAGTAAGTTCTGATCATGTACGTCGCGTCATAGTGAAGGTTTATAACGTTCAACATGGCGGAGCAGAACCTGGTCTGCAGAGGAGACAAAGTTTATGCTCTGATCTTTAAAAGATGGTGGTGGGACGGACATCCAGCTTATATGCCTCAGAACACGACGTCTTCCTCTCACCCTTCTTTAATAAGGACATGTGAAGTACATTTTCCTGAGTCATAATTTCAAAGTAATTAAAAGCACAAGCGCTCCGACTGAAAACTCAGGTGACGCACTGCTGCTCATCTCACTCTGACTGGACTCACGTGATGCTTGTTGTCATGGTAACGTCTACACTAAGTGGTACTCTATGCATGCATGTAATTTTGGATCAGATTACTTGTAGTGTGATATATTTTATGATAAATCCACTTAATGATGTTAGTCTTATTCCATTAAATCTATATGGTTAGAGAATAAAATAAGCTTAAGCTTAATGTTTATCGCCACTGTCCTTGAGTCTATGAGCTAATGATCAGGTGAAATCAGGAAAGCAGGTAGGAAAGGAAGATTCATTTAGCTACTCAGAACCAGCCCTACCCGGCTAACCCTTCGCCACTATGACAGAATACCCATAAGATACTATACCATGACATCACATTCCCAAGCCCTATAATCTCGAATGGCTCCCTCCTTCCTATATATTATGTAAGTGATGAAATAGTTTAAATAGTGCACTATTCGTCCTGTATGGATGTGGCTGAGTCCCAAACAACTATTTGTGCTATATAGTGCACAGTTGGGGTGTGTAATGGAACAGAACCAGCCAGATGCTTGTGGTAAAAATTAAGAAATAAGGCTTTACTGAGAAAGAGCTTGACAGTACTTATAGTGTAAAGACAGGCGGTGGTCAAATCCAAAAAGGCCAAAATACAGAAAAAGACAAACACAACAAACAATATCAGGTGAAGTTATAAGACATACATCACAGGTGCCACAGGTTAGTATTTGGGTGAACTGGAGCGTTGATTGGTGCATCGCGAAGTTCATGCGTCATGTGATCCCCCTG